ACAAATATAATAAGTCAAAAATGAAGTTGAATTATAGAAAGAAGTTAAACTGGCAATGATTTTTTTTCTTTGAGAGGAGGAGGAGGGGTTGCAATTGACTCAACCACCTCATTGATCTGACTAGCCTTTCATTCAAACGAATGAAGATCCGTTTACACATCTATCACTCAGATTTTTCACATTGTCTTGGAAAACGAAAGACGTTCCACTGTGCGGGGAAAACGGCGGTAAGCACGGTCACAGCGTGGCAAAGAGGGGGAGGTCAATATCACTGTGGCCTAAAACATTGCATTTCATCCACCCCTTCAGGCCCATTTTTGGGAAGTAACCGCAATCTGCAATGACGGCCAAATAATAACTTGTCACAATATCTGCTTCCTGGTTGTCCGCCGTGGAGCTACTTAAACCACTCAGCCGTCCTTACGCCGCGCCGGGCACCCTTCTCCGTGGCAGACCCTCTCACCGCTCTTAGTAGCCTCCTCTAACGCTTTGCCAATCGTGATATAATTCGTACAAGAGAGGTTTAGGTTTGCATCAGGAATTAAAACAGATCAAGAATAGAGTCTAGTATTACTTGAACACCCCCTTCTATTTTCACAATAGTCGTTCCTTTCAGCTATTAAAGAGAAAATAAGAACGAAAAAATCATTAGAAATAGATTACGAACCACTTAGAAAGGAGAAGAATTCATTGTCCATTTGGCTATATTTTACTGTAAGTAACTATTATTTCTGGATCGTTTGAGAAGTAATGCATTAGCCATCAGTTTCTAAATACAGATAAATGCTTTCATGGATAAGCGAGGAATGGTACTTGCTTTATATGAAATACAGTCTGAGATTCAACGATGCAACGATTAGATTGTGCCTTCCTTTAAAAAAACTTCAACTTTCAGTCATTTAACTTACGGGTTTTTGTTTAGTTTTTTTCTTCTTTTACCTTCGGAAATGGAATACACAATGTTTGGCTAAGCCATGAATAAAGGAAATTAACGATATCCAATATTTAGACGTTCGATGTACAACGTTTAGTCGGTGTTTAAATAACTTAAACATTCAAGTAAAATACCCCTGAACAATATTGGTTCACCTCAATCCAGGGATTGAAAAGAATTATTATAATCAAGAACTAATTCCAATCATTATCTAATTCTATTACTCGACGAAATAAAGCGTATTAAAAACACTTTAGAACTCTCAGCCGCCTTCAAAACTTGAAAAAATCATTTTTATTATCAGACCGAGAAAATGGGCCGGGGACGCAGGAACTAAGATTGGATAGCCTCAGCCCCTTTTTCAAGTACGAGGCGGTGTCGGAGAGGCAGCTAAAAAGCGCGGTGTAATAGACAGAATTGAGGCATAACATCGGGTAAGATTTTAAGCTAATTAATAGTCAGACAACCATAGTAATTTCATCAGTAACGGGTTTGAGAGAGGCATTAGCAGCTTGGTCACGCCGATATCAACCCCTACTTGGCCCTCGGGTTTCCGATCCAGGATTCACCCCACTGGGCACTTGAGCCATGAATAAAACATTTTTCCAACTGGTGCTTTCGAGTTCGGCCCACCACACTTTTACTTTCGCCTTGTGTCTGTCTATGTAGCCTTATACCATGGAGTTTATGTACATTATGTAAATTGCCTCCAGCTAATTGCCGATAAGTTGGGTGGCTAAGGAAAATGAAAATGTATCCACCCTGTACTACTTACATGCAATATTGTTTTTACGACTGAGCTCTTTTCAATTTCAACATGATTCTCTTCCAGTGTGATTGTTCTTTTTCCTGAACTCGACAGTTTTTTTATAGTCTATAGTTTCTCATAGTCTTACGGGTAAAACTTGCAGCTTTGTAATAATTTGATTCTTAACGTACGATTTGTATGAAGTCCCAGCAGGCTGATTATTGAAATTGATACACAAAGCGATAGACAGAGAAAACAAGGAGAAAATGGAGTGATCCTATTGGTGGAAGCGGGTCGATGCGATGGACAAAGGAGATAAGTAACAGACCAACTAACGTCAATATACGAAAGACCCTCTAGTAGCTAGTCTATCGTTTCGTCCCCTTAGTCTATAAGAGCCACCAGTTGCATTCAGGATAGCTCCATTTCCCCTGTCCTCTTTGTCTAGAGCTTTGTCTATCAAGTTCAGTAATCAGCCCACAGACAAGACTTGGGCGGTTTTGAAGAAAACCTTCTATAATGCACAGATTCATCCTCGAGGTTGATCGCGTTGTTGTACTGCTTGTTGTAGATAGCATTCTTCTCCTACATGCCCGGAGGCTAATAATAAGCATCGATTCAGTGGATTGTCTGCACGGGTTCAGAGGACGATTGGCTCGCATAGTTGCACGGTGATATGCGCAAAGCGAGCTAGCCACGGGGCACAACTGGAGCACTATCTTGCTAGGCTAGAATCACGTAACTCCCTAGCAGACTCAAGGGAGACGTGCGGCCTTTCATTGAGAGTCGAAGAGCACCTCCCGCCTCATACTCACAGAGTGCAGAGTTGAGACGGCCATACCCCCAGATCTGAGCCTTGTCTTACTTTGCGTCTTGGTGCTGTGCAAGCTCGGAATTAAGTACATCATTATGAAGATTCTGTTCCTCACTCGAAGTGAATCGCTGTTAATGTGGCACATCTGCTGCCCGTTAAAGCTAATCAGAATATCATGATGTGAATTGGGCCGATTCTCCTAGTCTATCAGTATGAAATCAGTGTGGTATCAGTATGATATCAGTCAAAAATGTGTTTTAGCTGTCATTCATAATGACTGCAGTTGTCTAATGAGGAAACAGCCAGTGGTTTTTAAGCATGGATTTTTTTACCACGCACGCCAAAGGAGTGTTTTTTCTAAGAAATGAGTTTCTCGCTCGCGTGGTAAAAATATCCATGCTTAAAAAAACACTGGCTGATTCCTCGTTAAAAAACTACATTTATGATTTCAGTATGATGAAATAGGAACTATATAGGACCCTTCGCGCATAGGAAAACTTTTCCTGAAAAGAATAATCCTGGGGGCACTAACCTGTCATAGGGTACTCAAGTTTTTCACTATCCTCTTGACGCAAGTCTTAAATTGAAACCATACAGTGATTCGCACTCGTAATGGTATTCCTCTTTTTAATATTATTTTCATTTCATTTTTAAGCCAGATCAGGTCACATTTCTTCCGCAGCGTCCCTTTTATCCTCGCGTCTACGCGGCATGTGAGCACCCAATCCTGCACTCTGAGATCGCACACTGTAATCAGGTGCAGCTGCTGATAAGTAAATTGATCAGAGTTGCCGGAAAAATGCACGACCTCTACTGGTAGCCATCGGGAGAGACGCATGGTGTGGCAGCCGCGTTACTACCTGAGGTGTAAAATGAGCCCGAATTCAAAACAAATAGCGGTGCACTCCCGGCTGGAGATTGCAAAGATGTGGCCGTAGAGAAGCCCTCCGACGGCCGTTGGAAGAGTCAATAATGATATTCATAGAGACTGGCAATTGATAACCCGACGACTGAAGAGGTTCACATTTGGACGAAGGAGCGTTACCTAGGGCTAATTACAATAATCCGGGGCTGAGGCCGGGGGTCCCGTGTTGAAGCCACGGCTGAGCAAATAAGACGCAGTCGTTACTCGCATGCGGTGCGGGGTACGAGCGATCCGAGGCAGGGCATCGTTTTCACTGACCCGATGCGTACGGTTTACGGTCAATACGGTAATGGTGAACGGTGCATCTCGGTGGACGCTGCACCAGACGCTGGGACTGTTATTATACGCCAGTAATTGAACGCCTTCAATTTCCATCAAAACCTATAAATAACGAACAACCAGTATTGATCCCCCACCTCCTCCCGCACCTCCGCGCTGTAATCCACTTGCCGGGGATCCTCACGGGTCCGTCCGGTCGAGTCTTCTGTTTCATCCGGTTCAGTTTCTTCACTTGTTCCATCGCTCGGCATGCAGATGTTTCATTCAAGAATAACTCTTGCACCACACACCTAGGAACGAAGTTTACGGGGAAAAAATAGGTATGGTTTGAAGTATAGTGATATGAGTATGGTAACCACCAACCTCTATGTTAGCAAAAACCGTAACTCTAATCACACACTGGAAAAAAAACACATTAGATCTAGAGTCCAGACTCTTGAAAACATTGACAAGAAAAAGGACTCTTGATTCAATCAGATTTAAGCTTAAATCAAAAGGAAATCCGCTCAAATTAAGAAGTTTGGTTCTTGATTTAAGCTTAAATCTGATTGAATCAAGAGTACTTTTTCTTGTCGATGTTTTTAAGAGTCTGGACTCTAGATCCAACGTATTTTTTTCCAGTGCTCTCATTAAAAGTATGCTGAAAGTGGTCCTGCAGTCATTATATGAAAAAGTTATGTTACTGGTAAAATTGTCCGCACTTTTTTTCTGTATTCCATTTGATGATTTGCACGCTATGCTATGCCTCATCCTGGCTCTGCAACACTCTTGATGCAGCTATACTTCATAGCCACATAAGGTTCACGCAACGCAAATTTCAAAATAAACTGCAAAAAGAGTCAAGTAATATGAACCTTCTATGGGAGGAGCTAAATTTTGTCGAAGAATCTTTATATACTCAGAATTGCTGTTTTTTTTCTTTTGCTGCTACTTCGGCTCATTCTGTCATCACTTACCGATTATTTTGTATTCGGTGGTTGGTACGAATTCGAAGGAATTCGCATGGATGAAGTTTTTGAAGAGCATGTGTATTCCGAGTCCTTATTTGCGAGAGGAGCACCCACTCAATTTTTTTCTTTGTTCAACAAAAATTAAAAATCCAGTATATGCGGAGCCTGACGATGTTACTGCCCTAATCGATGGGAGAACAGCGAGTTTCCTGGAGAAAAGAAGGACCGTCGATTCGCACCAGCCACTTTTATTCCTTTATGAAACGCCTACCCACCTTTATGTCGAAGTTGTTTTCGCTATTTTGATTTTAATTGGACTTCATGAGAGCTAATAAAATTTTTTTGTCCAGCAGAAGGTCGCGAGTGCGTGAACTGCGGAGCAACGTCAACGCCCCTTTGGCGTCGGGACGGCACCGGACACTACCTCTGTAACGCCTGCGGATTATATTATAAAATGAATGGCCAAAACAGGCCGCTAATTAAACCTAAAAGAAGACTGGTGAGTTTCTAACTTACGTTCTACCTTTTTGCATGCTTCCTTTCCTCTTTAATTGCATGTTCATTTAATCAATGTTTCCGAAGAAACCGAGGCCTTTGGGTGTTTTTCAAAATGAATCAGGATATTGACTGACCATCAGATAGAAACTTGCAGTGTTTAATCTTTCAAACTTTCGAAGTGAGTCGACGCAGTTTAATAGATTTTTTTGAAAAAACACTAAAAATTTGTGGACCGTTGAGAGGTGTATTACACTAAAGTCATAAACTGAAACTGACAGGTGCATTCTGTGTTGAAACATTTTATTACTTAAACGATGACGGTACTGAGGTTTTCATCGGCGAAACTTCCTCTTTGCTCGATGAAACATTGCTAGATAGTAAAAAATGTCCAAAAAATGGTCCTGAGTAGCCCGCATGTATCTAAAATAATAATGACCAATCCTTAACGCCCACTAGCCGCACAGTTATCGATTTTGAGAATTACAATACCAACAAAACTGTGACGCTAACATTTCAACATGAAACATCCCACTGGTCATGTTATGCGGAGACTTAAACGCAGGTATTGAATGTTTTTGCGTCCCGTACCTATGATATGATTATGAATTGCCCAAAGAAATTTCATACTGGATGCCTCTCGGACATGAAACTCAGATCACGGGAATTATAAAGATTGTGATATACTTAATTTCTATAGCATCTGCTTGTATAAAAATTTGTATAATTAATGTGTAATTTTTTGATGAGCCTTACAAACTTTCCCGGGACTGCTATAAAACCCCGTTTTTCAAAAGCCGAGGACATTTAAGTTACCTCGGGCGACCAAAGATGAATTTACTCCAGTGCACCTCCCACACAAGAACGCGGGCTATTCTTACAAGTTGACAACACCAACTCTCCATTTAAAGCCACTGTAAATAATCGATTCTTAGTGGGGCAGGGGCAGTCCGCCTCGATTAAAGTCGATTATTTAACCTACATTTAAAAGGACCGAGCCCTGTTGCCAACTTGGAAGGAACCCTATTTAGCTACGCTGCCGTGCTAAGTAAAAACCCCGTATGTGCATTCGAATGTTGTCAAATTTCTCTTCTGAATACATCCATTTATGAAGGAAATTAGGAATATTTTCTCTTGCAATTTTCAGACTTTTTTGATAAAATTATGAGTAAAATCCTCTGAAAAAGCGGAGGGGAAATATTCACAAACTTTCCTGAAAATTCGTGATTGTCGAAAGAGATTTGACAACGCCCGATAACTCCTACGTCGTTTTTACTTAGCACGCGGCAGTGCGTTCTATCCCGATCGACCCGACGTGGAAATGAGTAGCGCGAGCGTTACGCGACAGTAAATAAATACCAGGCCATTATTTACCTAGATTTCAGGGGAGATCAAATATTGATAAGGCGTTGTGGGAATGTCCATCGCCTCGCATTTGGAGCGGGACGGGGGGGGGGAGGGGTATCGATCAAACTTGGAAAGCACAGTAGACCGGGCGTCGGAGTGGCAAGTGCGTTTCGTGGGGGCCGGCCGAGCGGAGTCGAGAGCGACCGGAACCGTCCGAACGGGCCCCCCTCCACGGCGGTGCGAGGACTGGGGGGCGTGGTCAAGGTGTCAATGATTATCAACACCGGGTAGTGGACCCTAAACTTTTGCCGCTCCGAGGGATTCCCAAACGTCGAAAGTTGGACGTCGCGTCGGCCGTGCGACGCAACGGCGACGTGTACTACCCTCTCCCGCTCGCGCGGCGGGATCCTTTCCTGCACTCCCGCCCCCGCCTAGTCAACCCCTCGACCGTGCCGGGGGTCCGTGGAAGGATGGGCAACGTATCGCGAAACGTGGCGAACATGTAACCTTGGCCACGCACCATCGATCCCCCGTGCACCTCGTGTTTTGGTCGTCGCGTCAATATGGCTGCAGCGTGGCTGGGGATGCGGTTGAGCATGGGGGCCATTTTTTCCGAAGGTGGAGAACTGGCTTCCTTTTAAAAAAACCAATCGCCTATTCTCCATTTTAAAAAGGGTCTTCTCTCCTCCCACAAAAGTTTACCATTTAGGGGACCATTCTCACCATAAGAGGCGATACCCCTCTGAACCCCCCACTGTACCACTACCCCACACGGGTTTGTGGAAAAGTTAGAGCTACCGTGATAGAAATGTTTGTGTATGGACCGCGTTTAGCAGAAAGGAACCAAGCCACATCAGATATTGCCGACTTTAATTGGGCAATTTCATTTTTACAAGGAAACGTTTGCGCAAATTACTTAGAAAAGTTTAAATAATTTGCTTCGTACTTTTACGAGCAAAAATACTGTGTATGTACAAAAGCCTAAAAAATGTAACCTTGTATTGCAGTTATCTTCACAAGGAAATATTACTCCTCTGATCTTCTTCTTTTCCACCGCCGCCCCACTGGTTCCATCAAGAAAGTAGTAGGAGTAGAAATGCCACTTGGTGGAAGGTACATGAAAATCCAGACGGAGTTCAAAGCCTTGTTTCACGAACAGTTTTCCAATATTCAAGTGCGAGGCCCAAAATAAAGTAATTTATCAGCCGAATGACTTCATGAAGCCCTCGAATCGGACAGTCACGGAGGTACTTGAAGAGCATGTTATACGGGTGGAGTATTCCTCCGAAATGAAGTGTCACCGCTTCATAACTGTCGTTCAAACTACTACAAGAGCGGTAACATGCGGAATTCTGCAGAGAATCGTAAAGACCAACATTACGTGGGGACAGAGGAGCGGCTGAAAACAATTCAGGTGCGAGGGCTTGAAAAAAGCAACTACCCACGTGGCGAACGAGTGGAAATAGTTCACAAGTCGTCGCTATTTTTCCTTGAAATGCACCCTAACACGACATCGTAAATAACGGGGTTGTTTCCATCGACACGAAACGCAGGGCCCGAAAAACGATTCGGAAAAATCGGCAATTTCGACTACACGATGGGTATCAACAGTTTTTCTACGTTGCACGCTATTCTCACTCCGAACGTAGATGCCGTTTTTTATAGGAACGCTCCAACAATCAAACGATCACAGGGCATTTTTCTAAACGTTTACCACCTTTCTACTTTGCCGTCTCGAGTGACTGTTATTATTGGTCCTAATTTGATGATAATGCCAGGTTCCCCTCTTCGGATAGTTCTTTTTGTTCAAGAGATATTCCTATAAAAAAAAACAACAAACACTAACATAGTTTTTTTTACCAATTTTTGGTGTATTAAAGAAGCCTTCTTCTTAGTTAATTTTGAGAGGAAATTGTGAGGGAATTCTTAACCCAACACTGGCGTAACTTTTACGTTTCGATATACTCTTGTCTTAGGCAATTTAAATTGTGAAAGGAGTTGTTCGAGAACAGAATAAACCACGTTCCTCTTCCTCGTGTTTGAGGAAACGAAAAATAATGCATACAAATCTTCTGATCAAAATCTAATCAAAGTGTTAATTTCGTCACAAGCTCGGATATTTTCCTCCACCTCAATTTTTTCTCGACAAGGATCCGTGGGAATCGATTTGCACACAACTGTGTAGACCCGGCCAAATCTTGTTTTGCATTTAAATGGGCAACTTCCAAACCGCAGATAACTAATTGGCGATACCGGGGCTCGGTTCCGAGTAAAAATTTGGACTAGCGGTGAAATTCGAGCACACTCGCTGACATAAAACCCCGGTCGACCCGTGCACCAGAGCCTGGGGGATTTTTTTACTCTTGGATTTTTCCGTGCGGGCCTCGCATGGCGACGTGTTCAGGGGGTTATTCTATGCAAATGGACACTATTATGTCGGGCGGGATTTTGATTTGAAGCGATGCTCCTCAGGAGCGTCCTCGCTGCATTCGAGTCTCATCGATTGCTAATTGGAGACACGCTTCCAATGCGACCACCAATCGGTGAAATAATACCCGAAGAGTATGCGAAACTGATGAATTATGTATGAAAAGCGATCGGAACTTCGGAAGGCGCATAATTCATCCGACCGCGCCGTTGTCGGACGCAGCTCCGACCCTAAGATTACTTTAGCATCGCGTCCAGGTTCAAGCACAGTGGCGTGGCGTGCTTTTCGACGTATCGATTGTTCTGTCATTTAAACCTATAAAAAGGATCGAAAAACAGGGCGTTCGCAATGAAAACCTCACACTGGAAAAGAAAACACATTAGACGTAGAGTCCAGACTCTTAAAAACATCGACAAGAAAAAATATACTCTTGATTCAATCAGATTTAAGCCTAAATCAAGAACCAAGCCTCTTAATTTGAGCGGATTTCCTTTTGATTTAAGCTTAAATCTGATTGAATCAAGAGTCTTTTTTCTTTGTCAATGTTTTAAAGAGTCTGGATCTAGATCCAATTTTTTTTTTTTAAAAAAAATTGGATCTAGATCCAGACTCTTTAAAACATTGACAAAGA